TATATGTGTGAAGCGTGTTTGGAAATTCGTGATGCTTTTATTTTGCTGCATTTGAAATAATTCATACTCCTGGATGAGTCTGTTTTTATGTGCTCGCTTTGCTTCATTTGTTCCTTCATTTGTTACTTCAAGAGTGTCCCATATTTCTTTTGCCGTCTTGCATTGTGAGACCCTGAAAAATTCATTACGAGTTAAGGCAGAAACAATAGCATTTCAGGCTCTTATATCATAATGGGCACGCTTATTTTCATCTGACATCCATTGATCAAAAGTCTTTGGAACAACTCCAGACTCCGTTGTTCTCATCGGAATGTAGGGACCATTGAGTACAACATCCCAAACACCGTAATCTAATGTTTGTAAAAATATTTCCATTCTTGCCTTCCAAAACTGATAGTCTTCTCCTTCAAATAATGGTGGTCTGTTTATTGAGGCTCCTTCCCTGTAAACCTGATTCTGCATAGACATCTTGACAGATCGTTTAGAAATATCTTATCTAACCAAGCACTGATACCACTTGTTAGACAAATGGTATCTAGAGGGGGGGGGGGTGAATAGATGCACAAATTAAAATAGATGTCAAATTAAAAATTTATTTGTGAGTCAATAATTTGTTTGAACACAGATAAAGCAGAAGCGATAATATAATCAGGAAAAGAGAAAAAGATAAGGTAAAGAGAAGAACACACAGAGATTTATACTGGTTCGGGTATAGCCAACCCTACATCCAGTTCCCAGTCAACTCTTAACACAAGAGTGACTCCCCATTCACTATCTTTCAAATTCAGTTTACAAATTACAATCAACTCAGCAGAAGAACCAGTAAAAATTAAACTAATTAAAAAGACAATCACCTCCTTAGAAACCCACTAAGGATGAACACCTCCCTAGAATCCCACTAGGGATGAACACCTCCTCTAAACAAATCAAAGGATGAAAACACCTCCTTAGAATCCCACTAAGGATGAACACCTCCCTAGAATCACACTAGGGCTGAAAAGCACCTCCTTTTCCACCAATGCAAAAAGGATGAAGGTAATAAAAATAAGAACAGACACACCTGGGTAATGGAGACAACAAATTGTAGAAGCCTGTAGAATGCCTATCTCCAAGAACAAGTGTGATTAACAATGAAAGCGCAGAAGGCAGTAGAGAAGAGGGTTTTCTCAAAAGGTGTAAAATATCTCTGTTGCCTTTCTCAGAATTCTTTTCTCAAAACTGATTGAATGTAAATTGTATTTTTCGAATTCTGTAATTGTGTGTTTTTTATTTTTCATCAAAACTTAATTAAATAGAAAAATAGCATCAGAAAATGGCCATTGGACATTAATAATATCATAGAGAAAATCAGGATGTATTAAAAAACATTTATTCTTTAAAACGGATATATTTTTCAAATTTGAATTGCCATAATTGAGTATATTACCAGTATAATTAATTATGATAGAGAAAATCATTTTTCTATTTCTGGTGCATCATAATTAATTATGACAATGAAAAATATCATGTTATGAATTTTATCACACTTGTGCTTTGGAGGCTTATGCATAATATTACTTCATCAACTTGTACCTCCATATTCAGTATTCTAAGACTCTATCTAGTCTTCAGGAATCATCTTGGGCTTCCTTGAATCATCATCTTTATCAAAAACATATAGTGGGCATGTAGGGAAATGTTTCACATTGTCACCTACGTCATAAATTCAGCTTGTCCTTAAATTCATCTTGAATGGTGTTGACTTGAATGTAGTTGACTTGAATCACCATCAAAATCATCTCTTGGGAATGCAGGAACATTTCCATCAATCTCCTCCTCATTGCTTTCACAGTGCAAGACTGAAGATAAATAAATAAAGATAAGGCAAGATCAGCACGTAATTGAAAATAATTAAAATAGGACTAGTGCAGGACTGAAGATAAAAAATAAAGATAAGGTATGACCAACACGTAATTTGAGATAATTAAAATAGGACCGAGTACATGACTCGAAGATAAATAAATAAATAACAGAATAAATAGAATAAATAGAATGAGGTTAGAGACACCTCACTCCACAACTATAATTAAAATAAAATAGATAAAATGATAATATTCTTCCCCCTACCTCAATACTGTAGATGATACACAAAAATTTGTTCCACAGTTATTTCTCTATTCTTCTTCTCTTCTCTCCCTCTCTCCTTCTCTTCTCTCTCTTTCTCTTTTCTTCTCTTCCTCTCTCTTTTCCTTCTCTCCTTTTCTTGCCTTTTTTTTTTCACCACCCCTCACCCCCTTTTTATAGTAACATTTTTACTTTTTTTTTCTCATTAATGATTCTTATCATTTTATTAAATTAATATTATTTTTAGTCTTTAGTCAATTAAAACTTATCTCTTGTACAAAGAGATAAGAAATGTTTTTTTTACATATTAATATTAATAATAATATATAATATAATAATAATTATTATTAATTCATATTATATCTATATATTTTAATTGTAATAGTATATAATAATAATAATAATTATTATTATTATTAATTTCATAATGTATTATAATATATATATATATATATACATTCTAATTGATAATAATTATTTTATTATTATTTTAATAAATATATTTTTATTTATTATTTTTTTATAATAGTTTAACAATAATATTAATATACATATATATATATATATATATATATATATATATTTCATTTATTTATTTACATAAATGAGTCTTTTTAAAATTATTTAAATTACCTAAAATATTATTTAATATTTGAAGAAAATTTTACATTAATTGAGATAAAGGTAGACAAATTAAATTTACAAGTAATTTCCTATTTCCAATGAAAGAAGGATAATCTAAACAAATTTTATTGGTGATTACGGACTTACTCGTGGGAGTTGAAACAATCAAACTAGTGTTTATAAAAGAAGTTGGTAGTTCAAGGTGTTGGACACAATCATTGGAAATGAATGAATGAGTTGCGCCTGAATCATACAGTATATTTATAGTTTTGCCTTTAATGAAACACATACCTTGGATCAAATCATTATTCTGAGAAGCTTCAGTTCTAATCATGCTATACACTCTTCTTGTTTTCGGATGTATTCTTTTTGGTGTAGAAGGATTAGAATTTGGTTTTTGTTGCCGACATTAAGAGAATATATGACTAGGTTTTCCACACTTGAAATAGACAGACCCTTTATGACAATCTTTAACATAATAAACCTGTCTGCATTTGAAGCACTTGAGCTGACTATTTACAAGTTTATTAAAATTTTCTACATAAAATTGGCTGGGTTGGGATCTCCATTGGGGTGGTTGTAAGGTTTTCCTTCATTTTGTCTCCTTTTATTATGTTGAGGTCCAAAATATTTTGGTTTACTATTTTGATCGTTTTCAAAATCATCCAAAAATATGCACTTATGAATAAGCGTAGGAAAATAAGAAATTTCTAATATTCCTACTGCTTTTCTCAATTCAGACCTAAGTCCATTATCAAATTTTATACACTTCATTATTTCATCAGGGTAATAAAAGAATGTAGAGTATTTTCCTAGCTCTTCAAACTTAGCGGCATATTCTCCTACTGTCATACCTCCTTGCTTTAATTGCATACACTATTTCTTTTGCTCTCCTCACATCATTGGAAAAATATTTTTCTAAATTTTTTTTTCTAAACACCTCCAAGTAATGATTATTCTTCCTCATTCTAGTAATCTCTTGGTACTATCCCACCAATATTTAGCCTCTCCTATCAATATAAACACATCGTAATTCACCTTTTGGTTATCAAGAAAATTCATAACTCAAAATATCTTTTCCAATTCTTTAATCCATAATTCAACCCTTTCTGGGTTATAACCTCCAAGAAATTGCGGAGGTTTATTTCTCCTAAATTCAACTAAACCTTGTGATTCATTGGTTCCTTCAGATCTTTGGTTCCTTAGCGGTCACACTAATGGAAAAATATGATTCTGTGACAACTTTGTATGATGATTGTAATCCAGTCGTCATAGTATGTAGGGCAGTGACATTTTTGTAATAATTTTATGAACTTTTTATGTCGATTATTATGTAACCGACATGGTATATGGGAAAATGAACTTTCTATGTCGGTTAAAGTTTAACCGACATAGAAATTGTATTTTATGACGGATATTTGGGCAACCGACATAGTATCTTTTGTTTTTCTTCGCCCTCGCCACTCCATTTCATCACTTCACCCATAGTAGAGCTCCCCATTCTCTCTGTTTCTACTGTGAACCTCGTCGCTGTTGTACATCATGCCACCTGTTGTTGTCATCACACCACTTGCCGCTACCATCGTGCCACCTGCTGCTGTCGTCGCCTTTGTACGTCGTGCCACTTGCCCTGCTGTCGCTGTTGTACGTCACGCCACCTGCTGCTGCTGTCGCCGCTGTCGTTGGTGTCCTTCGCTGCCAGTTTTGATTCTAGGTCTTCAAGAGGTAAGTTTTCGTGCCTACTCTAGCCATTTGAATGTGTTTCTGTAGCCATTCTAGGTTTACAGTTTTGATTGTGGTCTGTGATAATGCTATCAACAGAGGGAAAGATCATGAGTGCTCTTTAGCCAATTTAGTTGCTAGATTCTAAGTTACTTTCTTTCTTGATTTTGATTTTGAAACTTAGATTTTTATTATAATCTAGTTACTAGATTCCAAGTCAAAACTATCATCACTTATGCTCACCCTAATGTGAGACAAGACGGTGAGCCTTGATTGGAGTTAGTCATGTAATCATCCACTCTAGGACTAAACTTCCTATTGAAAGATTAAAATATCCAATCACGTGACATCACAACTTCTTAGCTAAAATGTCCTCAAGTGCAAGTGTTTTGAAGGCCTTGAGCATCCACAAAAACCTGTTTTGTTTCTGCTTTTGTTGCGCCCTTTGTTCTTCTTTTCATTAGCCATTTTCAGCAAAACATATTGGATGTTATGCACCTCAAACTACAATCTTCCTATCAACAAGAAGTTAGTTTCATAGTCTCGCTAACCATTAAACTATGATAGCAGTCCTGCTTAGCAGTTTCCCACAATTCAAGCATTTGATCATCAGTCTCATTATTCTCTCTGCTGCTACTCTTAGAGGATGGATTGTCTGAGATGTGATCAAGTGAAATATCTTTCATCAATGACCCATTTTCAAATTTTGTTCTCCAAGTGTTGAAATCACCTGTGCTCTCATCCTTGATTACATTTTGTAGTTTTGTCAATGACCCATTTATCATCTCATTCTATATTGCCCTTGAAAGTTTCTAAATCTATACTTATATGTTGTGTTATGTCATAGAAGGTAACAATGGATCAAAGTTGGATCAATTATAGACGAACAACAAATGAATATGAGAGTGGAGTAGAATAATTCCTTGAATTTGCAAGGATGAATGTTTTGGATAATGATGGAAGATTCTATTGCCCGTGTGTTCACTGTTTGAATGAGTGAAGATTACCGACTGAAGTTATTTGGGAGCATGCTCTTTGTGATGGTTTCCTAAAGAGTTACATAAAGTGGACATGGCATGGTGAATTATTAAACATGCCAAGTGTAGAAGACAAAGAAGAAGTTGATCTAGAGATGGATGATCAGCTGGAGGAAATGATTCGTGAGCTTGGACAAGATGCCTTCCAACATACACATGTGTACGAGAAGTTGTCCAATGATGCAGAAAAGCCTTTGTATACAGATTGCACTAAGTTCACACGATTGTCGGTGGTACTAAAATTGTTCAATGTGAAGGCAAAAAATGGGTGGACTGATAAAAGTTTCACAGAATTGCTTAAGTTGTTGAGTGACATGCTCCCTGAAGGTAACACATTGTCAACTTGCAATTATGATGCTAAGAAGATATTGTGTCCAATGGGTATGGAGTACCAAAAAATTCATGCATGTCCGAATGATTGTGTGTTGTACAGGAAAGAATTTGAGAACTTTCACGAATGTCCACAATGCAGGGAATCACGATACAAGAAGAAGGATGGTGATTCTGACAATGATGTAATGAAGGGTACCCTGACAAAAGTGTTATGGTATCTTCCCTTTGTTCCAAGGTTGAAACGATTATTTGCTAATGGAAATGATTCAAAGCTCACTAAATGGCATGCAGATAGTCGTATTAAAGATGGTCAGTTGAGGCATCCGACAGATGGATTACAATGGAAAAAAATTGATTCCATCTTCCACAATTTTGGTAATGATCCAAGAAACATTAGGCTTGGACTTGCTACTGATGGAATGAATCCATATGGAAATTTAAGCAGTAAACATAGTTCATGGCCTATGGTGTTAGTGATTTACAAGTTACCTCTATGGTTGTGTATGAAACATAAGTACTTGATGTTATCTTTGATGATCTCGGGTCCCAGACAACCTGGAAATGACATTGATGTTTTTTTAAGCCCATTGGTTGAACATTTGAAGATTGTTGCCACCGTCAAAAGAAGCGGTCGGAGCGACGCGATGGTTCCAACTTCTGTTTTCGCATTTTATATGGGTGCGGTTACAACGCCTCTAGGTTGTCCAATAACCAGGCTGGACCTAGGGCGAGGTTTTCGAAAGGGAGCTTTTAGGTTGTCTGATAACCGGGCTGGACCAAAAAGCAAGGTTTTCGAAGAGGGTTCTTATGGAGTCACCATCGATGTTTTTACCGAAAACATCGAAAAAGAAAAAAAAAAGCGTTGGTTTTTAAGAAAAACCAACTTTGGTCATTATAACCAGAGTTGGGTAAGGGAGTTAGTTACGTGTAGGGAAGGTATTAGCTTCCCTACAACGCCCCTTTCGGGTTCCCTATGATAGAACGATTATTTTATAAACAAACTTTTAAAATGATGCTTTTACCCTTTTATTCGTGGAATTAAAAGATAATGACTACATGGCCCTAGTAGCTATTGCACAAATTAATATAAGTAAAAAATATGGTAAAAGAGAGGGAGAGAGTGAAGAAACCTTTGGAGCAAGCTTTGATTAATTCTCTTAAAAAATGGGGCGCGTTTTGGCAGCCCTTCGCTCTACAATGTTGACTTTTCTCTCTCGCAACGCTATAAAAACTCTCTAAGAACTCTCAAAAAACTCCGGAAATGCTTCAGAGGGGCTCTAGGAGAAGAATTTTGAGAAATTCTAGAAGGAAAGGTGGAAGAACTGTGTGAAATGAAGGGGAGAGCGCCCCCCCCCTTTTATAGGGATTCGCGCCTGTCAGGTCGAGACTACCGTCTCGCCAATCGGGACGGCGATCTCGCCTTTGACAAATGGCGAGACGCTCGTCTCACCAATCGGGACGGCAATATCAATTTGCCAAATGGCGAGAGGGTTGTCTCGTCAAATCGGGACGGTTTCGATCTTGCCAATGGCGAGACGGCGGTCCCGATAAGCGAGATGGCGGTCCCGATAAGCGAGACGACGGTCTCGACCCTTAAGGTGGAAATCCTTATTTTTTGTACAGAAAAGCCTTCTTACTCTAATATGGGGCCTTAATAGTCTATCATAGAGACCTTTTAGGCCTTGCCCATCTTCAAATTGGAGGTCTTCCGCTCTTTATTTTGAGGTCGGGCAAGATTTGGGGTCTATAGCTGCCCCCCCTTCACCTGACTAGCCGACTGTGTTACAAAAGGAGGCTGAGATCAAGAGGGGGGGGGTGAATTGATCTTTGAAAGATTTTCGCAATTTTTCAGATTATCTATTTCAAATATTAAGAGTTCTGACCAATTCTTGAATCAAGCAAAACAAACAATCAAAATAAAGACAACAACAGAATTAAAGAGAGAAAGGTTTAGAGAGATAGAACCAAGATTTATACTAGTTCACCCAATCCCAGGGCTACGTCCAATTCTCAGCCAAATTCCAGCTGAGTTCCACTAGATTGAATGTTTTACAGATTACAATTCCAATCACACACCCAATCTACCACAAGAACCAAAATTCCAGTCCTTGCACCTAAACCTTCACCAAGAACCAACTTCCAGTTCTTGAACCACCCTGTAGCCAAATTCCAGGCACAGAAACCAGTGCCCACACTTCCAGACACTCACAATACAATAATGAAATATAAATGAAACAAAAAGAAGATACTAGAACACTCAAACCCAGATTATGCAGCTTTGCAAAATGAGTTTCTTCACAAAAGAAATGTAGATATTGCCTCAAGAAAGAACTTTGAAAAACTTCACAAAACTTGCGTGATTCTTTCTTGAAAGTAGCTCTTATGATTGCTTGATTGATAGCTCAAAGGTATATTTTAAAAGACTCAAGCAATCCTGTTTATATAAAGGATTGTTAAAACTGCTGGTTTAATTAATATGTTAAAACAATCTTTTAATCTGTTAAAAGTCTTGAATTAATCTGTTAAAACTTCTTTTAATCTGTTAAAATGTTCTTGATTATTTTCTAGATTTGTTTTAATTGGTGCGACATCGTTTCAATCAATTAAAATTCTTTGTAAAAAATCCCTTAAGTTGTTTTAATTGATTAATTCACCTTTTAATCGATTAAAATACTACCAAATGTTTTCATAAAACTTTCTAAGTGATTTTAACTGATAACAGTCTGTTTTAATTGATTAAAACACTTTGGAAAAAATCTCTTCGTTGTTTTAATCGATTAATTCGCATTTTAATTGATTAAAATCCTGACAGAACTTCTTTCAAAACCTTTCAAGTGGTTTTAATCGAGTAATTCACATTTACATCGATTAAAATACTGACATAACATATTTCAAAATACTTCAAGTTATTTTAATCGATTATTTCGAGTTTGTATCGATTAAAATACTGCCAGAACACTTTTCAAAACATCTTAAGTCATTTTAATTGATTATTTCGATTCTACATCAGTTAAAATACTGATAGAAGGTTTTCAAAAACTCCTTTAATGAAAACAATCGATTAATTCGAAGATATATGGATTAAAACAGTTCCAGTGTATGTTTTAAAAGGTTTTAATCGATTATTTCGAAAACTTATCAGTTAAAAAACTGTTATGTAAGTGTTAAGAACATTTTAACTGATAAAGCTCATATAATATCAGTTAAAACAATTACTTAAAAACCATTTAACCGATTACTTTGGTTTTTAACAGATTAAACACGTTTAGAGGCATTTGCAAAATCTTTTAAATGATGAAACCTCATGCAGCAGAGAGATATGAATGATTATACCTATGTATAGATGCAGACTCACTAATCACTTTACCCTTTTAACCAAGTAACCTTTGACTTCACCAGAAAAGCCTTTGACTTCATCAAATCAACAAGATCTTCGTTTCATCAAATGATTCAATAAGATCTTCATCACTTTCAGACTGTTGGCCTGTTATGCCAAAAAGATCGGCTGGAGGGTGAAGGAGTTAACCCTCTTGCCTGGCTGTCCTTCAGATGCTCCATCTTGCGGTGACCGACCCTCTAGACAAAAAATGTTGTGCGCCTCCAGGATGCTCCATCTTGCGGTAGCCGACCCTTCGGTTGATAAGTATAAACCCCCCATCAGGCTGGTAGTTACAACCCACTGTTCGTAGGACTGGATGAGTATAAACCCCTCATCAGGCTGGTAGTTACAGCCCACTGTTCATAGGACTGGATGCGTATAAACCCCTCATCAGGCTGGTAATTGCAGTCTACTGTTCGTAAGACTAGATGAGTATAAACCCCTCATCAGGTTGGTATGGTCCATAACATATGACCGGTTGCGACTTACTGCTCTGGCTCGTGTGCAGATCATGCGCAAGTCATGCGCAAGTTGATGGGTATGAACCCCCCATCTAGCTGGTGTGGTCCACTTTGTAGGACTGATGGTGGTGGTGGCTTACTGCTCTAGCTCATGCGCCGGGTGACGAGGAATGCTTTCCTGTTTGGATGAAGTTATCTGGTGTGCCGGGGATTCTTTCGGCTCTTCCGGTGGTCATCCAACTTCGTTGTTTGCTGGGGAGTCTTTTTTATTTGTCGTTCGACTTTTATTGGTCAATGTGGTTGTCTTGCCAGTCTGCCTTGGCTATCGCTTTGGCTTTAATCCTGCATTTTTCTGCAGTTTTATCTTTTTTCTCGCGACTTTGGATTTTGGCTTTTTTGGGACTAAGCGTAAGTCTTTTTTGTTATGCTGACTTTTTTTTGAAAAGAGAGAGTAAAGACGAATGGAAAAAATTTTATTCATGATATGATAAAATTTATTACAACAGTTATTTTGGGGTAATATCCCTAAGATGGCGGTGGGCTCGAGCCGGGAGACGATCCGGGAGGGGGGAACT